TATCTCTGTGAACAGACTTTCAACTTATATAGATTGTACAATGCAGACCACTTCATAATTGTACAATGCAGACCACTTCATAATTCTTATTCTTTAATATAAAAGGAACAGGGGGTTGGACTAGAAGACCTTCAGCGTCCCTTCCATCTCTGTTATTCTGCATTCTGTATTCTGTATGAAGTCTAAGTCCATGTAATTACTCTGTTGCCTCTAGCTTCTATCATTAGCTGTACAATTTTACAATTGTGTAATCATACAGTTTATATTCAGATTTAAGGATTTTGACACACAAGCAAATTTAGAAATGGATGAATTCTCCTACACAGTGGGAACGGCAGTCAGGCATGGGTTAACCCTGTCTGTCAACCATTAGGACTGAGTCTGCTGATTTCCTAAATCCCACCTCTTCCTGTAGCTCTCCAGTTTTTTGACTCGGTCTGGCCTGGACAGACGTGTCTCTCTTAGCTCCAGCATTTGTTTTAAAACTTGTTGAATTTGATTTGATTTTAAGTTCCCTAACATTGGAGGAGCCTTTTTTCTCTGCCAGCGAGAAGGGCATTTGCCTGATTCTGCTGTGGGCCATGTGGCGGCAGCAGACTGCTGGCTGGCAGTTCCGCTGGGCAACGCTTATGGGCTTGCCCCAATGCACTGGCCCAGAGGATCCCGCTTGCAGGACATCGACAGCAGGCGAGGTGTTGCTGCGTTTTAGAGCATTTGCTCAGCAGCAAGTTGGTGCGAAGACTCATTCCGCACCTGGATTAATCGTGCTTATGCCAGAGGGCTAGCAATCGGTGCTTTGGTTAGTGGCTCATATTTCTCCCCCCACGTTTCACCTGGAATTGGCTGAGGCTTTTGGAAGTCTGCGGTACAGAGCAGTGCAGTGAGTAGCGGGTTGGGGATCCACCTGCAGAGACCACACAGTTGGGAGTTTTCTTTTTTTGACCTAGCCGCTAGCGCACGTGGGCGATCAAAATGGCGGATGCCATTCCTTCTAAACGATTTTGCGTGGATGCTTCCAAAAGGAAGAAGCACCATGACAGTAATCCAGGGGAGGGCACTTCAGGTTCTCAGCACCACAGTAAAAGGGCAAAGGTGCACAAAACCACTCCTCATACTAGAGCCTCTAAGGCGTCCAAGGACGAAGAGAGACGTCATAAGGCCATCGAACAGGCCATACAAAAGGCACAACTGGTGGCTGATAAGAAAGCTCGGTCTTCCCCTCCAGGGCTGCCTCCAGCCATTCAGGGTCAGTCTACACCTTCTTTGTCTCCTGATGTAACTGATCAGAGAGGAACTTCTCTGCCCACTGATGCGGCTTTGTTATTTGAGTCTAGACCCAGTGTGAAACCCCCTGATTTGCCGGCCGGTCAATCCTACTTTTACGCCCACGGCCACTGGGCTCAGCCAGGCTGAGCAGCAGGATCAACAAATCCCTCCTGCCATGGCAAATTTGATATCAGAAGCCGTCCGACAGGGCATTGCCCAAGGCCTTTAGCATAGGGCATCTTTGGAGGTGTCAGAGTATGTCAGCCACCTCAGTCAGTCTCAGAGATCTCACCATCTAGAGGAGTCAACTGGGGAGCATGGGCTGGCTGATTCCCCAGGTTCTGCCAGTCAAGCTTCTCTATCTGACGAGGAGATTCCCCTCGATCTGGACCTTTCCGAGGATGAGGGCCTTGAGTCTGACCAATCTTCATTTGTCTGCCTTTTTAGACCTCAGTTGTTCCATTCCGTGTTATTCAAGGCTCAAACTACTACACGGTTGAGATGCTCTTCTTCAGTGTCAGATTCGGTCTCAACGGCTGTTGATCCCACTTCCTCCTTATTTGTGGAATCTATGGCACAGACAGAAACCATTCCCGCACCTAAATTATTTTCAGATGTAGTTCAGAGACAATGGGCCTTTCCCAGCTCCGGTCCCCTCTCTAACGGCCAAGACAAGCGCCTTTATAATATGGCTTCGGATTTCTCTAACCTTTTACAGGTTCCCACAGTGGACGCACCAGTTGTTGCACTTTCTTTTTACTCACATCTGACTGGGCTCTGGAGGAATCCTTACGTCCGGAGGACAAGAGAGCAGAGAGAGCTCTCATCAAAGGACACCAGGTGACCACCTGGTCAGTTCGGGCTGCCTCTGCGGCCTCATTTTTCAATAGAGCATCCATCCTCTGGCTGAAGCAATTACAAGAAAGAATTCCTTCCACTGATTTGAGATCCCATCAAGATATCAACAAAATACTGGCTGCAGTGGAATTCTCGGCGGACGCTACACTCAACGCTGCCAGGTTTGCTGCTAAATCCATCGGTCACCTCAAGAAGTCTTCTATGGCTCCGACATTGGCAGGCCAACACCAGAAACAAATGGCGACTTGCTTCATCTCCCTACTTAGGTGACAAATTGTTTGGGGCCCCAGTGGAACCACTCCTGGTGGAAACCAAGGATCGCCGTAAGATCTTACCATCTCTTTCCAGACGGGCCAAATTTAGACAGCAGGGTTATTTTCGGCCTCAGTCCAGTATTACCAGCAATGCTCTCAATATTCCTTTCCATCCAGAGGTGGTCAGCATCAGGATACCCAGGTTAGATAAGGTTCCAGATTCCCTTCCAAGAGGCCCTTTCGGGGTGGGAGAAGCCGTCCCTTCCGGAGGTCTCGATGACCCGCCTCCCACCTCCCACATTGGGGGACGTTTGGCATTCTATGCCAGTCAATGGGACTCTACCATCTCAGATGCTTGGGTCAGGGAAACAATCAGATCCGGTCTCTCTCTTGAATTTCGCTCCACTCCCCCGAGGTTGTTTGTTCGCTGCCCTATCTCCCAGTACAGGACCAAACGTGTACAGTTGGAATCAGCCATACAATACCTTTTGAAAATCAAGGCCATACAGCTGGTTCCATGGGAACAACATGGGCAGGGGTTCTATTCCCACTTATTTCTAGTATAGAAGGCCTCGGGTGGCTGGAGGGCTATTCTTGATCTGAAATTCTTAAACCGGTACATCATTTATCGCCGGTTCAAAATGCAATCCCTTCAGTCTATCCTGTGGACTTATGCAGCCCTTGGCCTCCTGGTCTTCTGCTTTATGCCTTCCCTCCCCTGCCGTTGATCTCCAGAGTCATCAGGAAGCTCCTAGAGGAGAGAGCGGAACTCATTCTCCTAGCTCCTCATTGGCCTTGGTGGCCTTGGTTTGTGGCCTTGGTGTCTCTTTCAGTGGCTCGGCCTTGGCGGATTCCCGACAACAGGATTTCCCTTTTTCAGGGGCCATGTTGTGGCCCCGCCCTCTGAGCCTATCCCATCGGAGGAAGAAAGCTCCGAGCATGAGGAAGAGGAGTCAGCCAGGCCTCCCTCTCCAGGCCCCTCCCCTCTGGCACTGTCTCAGGAGCCGGCCGAGGGAGAGGAGATTAGCCGGGAGACAGGTGTCTCGGATGAGAGTGAGGGAGAGACGTCATTCCTGGACGCACGCCTCCAAAGGCGTGATAAACGATTGCAGCAGCTCAGGAGGCGTGCTAGGGATTAGAACTGAGTCACTGGACCACACCCCAGAGACTATATAATAGAGGGTGGTGGCCAGTGATCCCTGTGACGAACAAAAATAAACCTTGGATAGTCACTAAAGCATCGTCCGAAACTGCTGAGAGGAATATTATTTTCTGTTGGACTCTTGTACGCTGAGTATATTATCTTTCTGTTTCTGTGGAAATAAAAGCACTTGGCAGATGGTGTGTATATCGCTGCCAAGTTGGAGATAAAGACCTGGGTGTGTGCCAAGTGATTCCTTAACCCTCGGCTGGCTGTGTTTGTGTGTGTGTGTGTGGACGGGGACAGATCAGGCCATTGGTCCACCTGGAACCACAGTGGTACCAGCTAACCACCTGGAGATTGAGCGGCATCTCCTGATCAGTGCCCAGGTCTCTGCCAGGGTCATTCCCACCATTCAGGCTTCCCGCCGGGCATCCACTATCCGCATTTATGAGGCAATGTGGAAGTCCTTCTCCTCCTAGTGCAAGAGACACAAGCTAAATCCTACATCAGTTTCCATAACACAAATTTTAGATTTTTTACAGGACGGCTTTGAGAGGGGCCTTGCCCCCAACACACTTAGACGGCAAGTAGCAGCCATTTCTTCTGTATTGACGTGTGGTTCGGATTCCATTTCCAAAGATCCACTAATTCGGAATTTTTTGAGGGGTGCTACTAATCTTTGTCCACCGGTGGTCCACCGGTTTCCAACATGGGACCTTAACAAGGTATTGTCTGCCCTGACTAAGGCTCCCTTTGAGCCCTTGCGTGATGTCAATCTCAGGTTTCTCTCTTTTAAAGTGGCCTTCCTTGTCGCCGTCACTTCCACCCGCTGTATCTCGGAGATGGCTGCATTATCTGTTCATCACAACCTCTGCATCTTCCACACCAACAGAGTCATATTACGGTTAGATCCTAGGTCAACTCCACCTTTCACAGGTCACGAGCTCATGCTACCCAATTTCTGCCCCTCTCATACTCATCGGCTAGAGAGAGTCTGGCATATACTGGACATCCGCAGAGCTCTAAAAATATATATTTCCCGTACATCCTCCTTCCGACGGACGGAAGCCCTGTTCGTTTCATTTCAACCGGCATCCATGGGTTCCAAACTAATGGCTACAGCCTTGGGGCAGTGGTTCAGGGCCACCATCTCCACTGCCTATGAGGTTCAGGCCTTGCCTGTTCCTCGGAACAGCACAGCTCACTCTACCAGGAGTGCGGCCACTTCTGCGGCCTGATCCATGCAGGCCTCCTTGGAGGAAGTTTGCCGAGCGGCCACTTGGGCCTCCCCGACACTGTTTATCCAACATTATTGTTTGGACTCCTACGCTTTGGCGGATGCTGCCTTCGGCAGGAGAGTGCTGCAAGGAGGAGATTCATGGATCTGGCCTTCTCCCTCCCTATAGGATAACGGGCTTTGGTATGTCCCATGCCTGACTGCCGTTCCCACCAAGTAGGAGAATAGGCTTTGTTCTTACCTGATATGCCCTTTCTCTGAACAGGGTGGTCAGCCCCACCCTGTTCTGGCTGGTCCGGGGAGCTATCGGGGCGGGAGGCTTCTAATTTTCTTTGCTTCTTATAGACACGTCAGTCTGCATCACCGTCCTTGCCGAAAAACTGAAGAGCTACAGGAAGAGGCGGGACTTAGGAAATCAACAGACTTGGTCCTAATGGTTGACAGACAGGGTTAACCCATGCCTGACTGCCATTCCCCCCTATCAGAGAAAGGGCGTATCAGGTAAGAACAATGCCCATTCTAAATACTGCATCGTATACCATACTGAAGACTTAAAATCAGTGCTCTAAATAAAAGTCCAGGGAGGGAAGAAGCATAGGAGCATTTGTCATGTACTGGAAGAGTGTATGTGTGCACGCGAACACGCACATCCATGGGCACGCTTCACTGCCATATTATTATATGGGGAAGCTCAAGGGTGACTGTTGTCCAAAATGTGAGAAATAAAAATTAGTACTAGATGAAAGCATACCTAGTGGTGATCCCATTAAAAGGGAGCCTTGACTAAGCCAATCCTTCTTCCTTAAATCTTTTCTAATTTACTGTAATGCTTTAAATTCATTTTAGCTCTTGCAGATTTTATTTTCTAATCCCCTTCTACATTTTCTGTGTTTGTGTGTTAATTAAAGGGTAAAAAGCCATATGGAACAATCTCAGGTTCTTCTTCTCCAAATCATTTTATGATTAAAGAACTGCTTTTTAAAGTCATTTTGGTGCTTATACCTGTGAACAAAATGGTTAATTTCTCTTCATTTAAAAGCTAGGACTGTAGAAATAAAGATACCTGAATGTCTTTTCCAGGAGATTTTTATCATTTATATGTCTGGAAAATATATTCTTGAAAACTGTTGGTTATTTTAGACACCAAGTAGAAATAGTCTGAGGTGTTTCCATGAAGGTAATAAAGTCATAAGATCTTTTTTCTCCTGCATGAAGTATGAGTTTTTGTTAGCCTTGAAATCAGTATCAAGTGAGACATCATTTCAAAGGTGTCTGTAGAATAAGAATGAACATTATGCTACACATACATTGCATTTTGTGTTTGGGCATGGATGACTATGGCCTTGAATTTTACTATAGCAGCATACACATTTATCCTTGCCTATTGTACAGAGAGAAAGTATACAGTTCTATTTGCTTAAAATTTTTATTAACTTATCTTTAGTATTTTCAGTATCTTCATACCCAAAGGTATAAAGAAAATTTACAGTTGCTTTATCTAAATTTCTGTGACGAATTAGTATTACTCAGTGTAATATTAGATATTAGAAAAAATAAACTATTTAAAATAAATACATGAAAAATGGGTTTCCTAAAGGTGTTATTTGTGAACATAGTATTTTGTGGTGTTCTTATACCCAACTAAAGACAACAGTGTCTGATATATAGTATTTCTTAATTTTGCTGTGGCTGTTTTAAGAATGTTAAGTGTTATTTTCTGTAAACTATTGAGTCTCTTGCTGAATATGCTGGGATATAAATGGAATAAATGAACAGATGCATAAATATATTTATTGTAAAAGTCTTTCTCTTAGCATACAAGTAGGCAATCAGGAATTTTTTGAATATCATGTGATGCAACTTCTATAAACCCTATCCAGTGCCATTGGGTTTGATTTGACAACATCTGGAAACATCTCTACCGTTTGACAACATCTGGAGATACCATCCATACCATTTGAGCATTGGAAGAACACTTTCTTGTACTTGGAGGGATAAACACAATTTTGTATCTAGTGTCAATTGCAAACACTGTTTTCTACCTGGAGCCTAAAAGTATTGGACAAATGAATTAAAATATACAGAACAGCCTGATGCTGCAGAGTTGGAGACTAAATGTGAATTTAAGATGATAGGTTAAAATAAGACAGCACTCTAAATTCACATAGACAAGATAATTTTTCTGCTTCTAACCAGGACCAAACACTTGCCCGGTTTATCGCCAGTAGTTAAAGAGTTTATTTACCCTCATCTTTCAGTTAAGATGGTACAAAAGTGTAGGAGATGCACCAGTGGTGAAATCTAAAATTTGTTACTACCGATTCTGTGGGCGTGGCTTGGTGGGGGGGATAATGTGACTGGGTGGGCATGGCCATTTTTTTTTACTTTTAAAACCATTTTTTACATGTAAAACGATGTAAAAAATGCTTTCAAAAGGCTCTGACAATTCCAGCTGAGTTGCCTGATTTTAAAAAACCCTCTGCCGATCAGCTGGGATGGTCAGAGCTTGGATCGTCAGAGCCATTTAAAAGAAAAAAAAAGCCTCTGATGATCGCACGGCTCAGCTGGGCATGGGGGGCAGGGGCAGGGATTTTTGCTACCGGTTCTCTGAACTGCCCGCCACCATCACTACCTACTTGCCCGAGCCGGTCCGAACTGGGAGCATTTCACCCCTGAGATGCACATCTAGAAATTTGGATATGTATATCACTTACCCAGATAGATTCTTTCCCAGATTCTTCCCTATATTGTAGAAAAATAATATGTAAAGAATACTTGACATATCCTATGTCAAGAAAAACATATTTTAGGCAAAATATGTTTTTAAAGTTTTATTTTATTAAGATAAAGTGCTTATGTTAAATTTAATATTCAATTGCATAACATAGGATAGAGAGTAGTAGTAATTTTTATAATTATTAAATTTTCACAGTAGTGCTATGAGTACTTTTCCAATAAAATGATACAAACTGTTTGACGGAGCTTGCTTTCATGTAAGTGCATATAGGGTGGCAATTTTGCTATTATGAATAGTTTAGGTTGTGTCAAACTAATACAATCCTGTAATATATTGATTGCTTTAGATTTCAATTTTCATGCAAAATATTTAGCATAAAACTATCTTATTTTATTCTTTCTAAAAGAAAATGTGTGGAGGAGAGGAAGGGTCTCCTAAAGTACCCAATTTTTCTGCTACAAAAAAACCCTAAAAATTATCTTTAGGGATTAAAATGGGACGGGAAAATTCATACCCTTGTTCAGTTCAATTCATAGCCTCAAAATTTGTTAGATCTAAATAGGATGCTATTGAGATAGCTTATCTACCCCACAATTAATTTCCAGAGTGATCTCCTTATTTTTACTATTTAGAAATATCTATCTTTTCAGCTCAAATTGATTAAAACCTCTGAAATAGGTAGGAGGGGGGAATGTTCTGTATTTTGAATTCCATGTTAATGGAGACATGGGGCAGAAGGTTAGTGAGTGGATTGACTTGCCTTGAATATGAGTATTTTTTTTATTACTGTCACTGTCCAGAATTGCAAACAAAAACACATTAAAAATAAAAGCAAAACTAGATAAAATATTATAATTGGTGGTGGGTTTGTTAGGGTCAAAAGTCTGCCTTATTTTACAGGCAATAAAAAAAATGGCCATATGAAGGAAATGGGATTATATGTTCTGATAACTCTACATAAAAAAAACCCATAAATTTCTAAGCATTTTACAGATAAAGAATTATAAGGCATGTCCCTGAGTCCTTATAGAAGGTACAGTATAATGGGACATGAAGTGTAGTTTCAACAACTCCTTGTTCACAGGTGCAGAGTCTCGGCTCCTGTACGACTTAGTTGTATCTGTCCTCCAAAACTGCTGTGGGGGAAGTGTTTAAAGTTAGTGTTTTGGGATATTTAGAACAGTTATGTTGTCTAAGTATCTTGCTGATTTGTAAGATGCAACTTGACTGCTAAGAAAAACATAGGTAAAGCAGACTGGTCCTGTTGTGCTTCTAGGCCTTTGCTATATTGTTTACCTTTGTTGAGTACATGCTTGTAACCTGTGGTGGGATTCAGCCGGTTTGGGAGAACTGGTAGTTACATTGCTGGCTGGCCCTGTCCCGCCCCACCTCGCCCCTTCCAGGAGTCCCCCCGAGCCCCGTTTTTGCTCTCAGGAGGCTGCAGGGAGGCCTCCTAGGCCCCAAACAGGGTGTGCGGGGGGGGGGTGCAGTGCGGCCCTCCCCCATGGTCCATTTTCGCCCCCAGGAGGCTGCAGGGAGATTCATAATTGTCTTCAAAATTCGTAATTATCTTCAATAAAGAAAGAACTCAAACCTGTGAGAAAGAACAGTAACTTCATCTAAAGTGCTTTGATACAGGTCCGTGCACCTGTTTTGTCTTTAGATAGCCCGGACTCCCTCCTTCATATAATAATAGAAACACAAGTTGTTTCCTTGAGTATGGCCCTTAGGAATTTAGATTGGATCCTTTCAAGAGGAGTAAAGAAGTATAAAGTCCTACCTGGGACTAAAAAGTAGTTGTGTTTGAACTTTCAGCATTGCTAGGATAGGCTATTCATCTGATGAAGTAAAAAGATTAAATTGTGGCTACTGTTTTTTGAGCATTTGATATGACATAATTCTGGTGTTCACTGTGTTTGTTGAGCTATGGAAAACAATGCCCAAATATTTAAAAGAATATTTATTCTCTTGTTCAGATGACCATTTATCCCCCAGGTGTGTGTGTGGGTCTCTTTGCAAAGATCAGAATTTTAGTTTTACTTTTGTTGATTTTAGGTGCTTCCTCAGATCAGTAATTGGCCAGAGCATTCAGAACTCATTTAAGTCCAGTTAACATTTGTGACAGAAATTGTGGGTCATCTGCACACAACAAAGTTGCAATATGTCTGTTTGTTAGTTTTTTTGTGGGGGAGGGAGGAGGTTCTAATTTATTTTGTTCATAAATATACAGATTAAACAAGGGATATAAAATATATCCATCCCTGCCTTACTTCTCTATGGTTGTAATATCTTTATTGTGGTTGCCTCGCATACAGCATTAAACTTTGATTCTAGAAATTTTATTAAGATTTGCAACAGTAACTGCCTATCAGTGGTAGTATTTTGGGTTAGTCTGTAGCCTTGCTCTGGGAACTCTACTATAGATCGAATTTAAACCTAAAATCAATAAATGCAGTATACAATATTGAACCTGTTTTAGATGTGTAGTTTTCGGCCAAGTGTTGAATATTGACTTATCTTTTGGACATTCTGGTTTAGATTTAGTGGATAATTGCTTCTAATTAACCCCTACTTCATTGTTTCTGATAGAGATAAGTGCCTTCCCCCCTTAAAACCCTTGAAAGAAAAACCCATTCTGATGGATACCTCAATTAGATTTTCTCTTCTCCTGAAGCAGCATTCATTCTGTAGTCTCTTTGATATCTCTGTAAGAAAGATTTTTCATTTTACATCTATTTTCCATGTAAATTAAGATTTCTGCAGATGTTTTGGAACATTTGAAACATTTGCTTAATATTTTATAATTTTGCTATTATATCAATAAATCCTCTTAGTACTACATCTGAAATTCCATGGTTGTGATAGATGGCACGAAGACAGATTATGTGTTTGGTTCTACCTCTTCTGTGATTACTTTAAGAGTCAAATGTGTAGACATGGTGAAGGCAGAACTTTTCATGACCGAAGGTTCTGTGGCAGTTGGAAGTGGACATTGGGAAAGACCAGAAGACATGGAGATTCTGGTTGCTCCTTGTAACAAGTATATACTTGGCAAGATAATTATTTACTTGACATTTAGAAGAGGAGAAGCCCAAGGATATGAGGTGATAAATTTTTGCTGGCATAAGAAAACTGGGACAAATATACGTAGAGCTGTATTGGCAGTTGTAGCCATCATTTAACTTAATTTGGGTAAGGTATCATTGCACGTCTCAACCAAATCAGGAAAAGTACTGCAGCAAGACTTGAGATATCACCCTGGTAGAGAACTTGAGATATCACCCTGGTATAGGAAATAATGTTCAGAAAAGAGAACTAGTATTTCAAAAGGACATTTTTAGTTGACTATAACAGTTTTGATAAACAAAAGGAAGTCTTTACTCATAGATTAAGGGGACAAGAAACAAAAGGGAAATGTGGCACATGTATTTATTCTTGCTGCTTCAAGAGCTCCATGAGAAGAATATATGCAATGTATTTGAGTATATAATTATAATAGATTTTTCTATGAAAAACAGTAATTCATGACAACTTAGAGTTCTGTAAATTTAAATATACTGATGCTAGTAAAGACATGGCATAATTATTGGTGACTACACTAATGTGTCTTCATATATTTCGGATGAAATGTGTGTGAAATACATGAAAATTATGGAATAGGCATATATGCAGACCTGTAGTTGCTCCCATTTAAAATCCTAGAGGATAATTTGGGTCCTCAGCTATGTATGCTTGCTCTCAGTGGGAGATCTGTCCACATAGCAAAACCAACTGATCTCTGCTCTCCCTTCTGGGAAACTCCAGGCATCCATCAGTCTGTTAATTGCACTAATTAGAGAGTGCTGAGGTGTTAATTGGAAAACCCTGGTATTGTGCCTGTTTAGGGGAAGAAAATGTCAATAAAAATTAATTGATGACTTGGCATGGCATGTGCACTTCACAGGTTAGCAGAGAGTCAAAAGATGTCAAGGCAAATGTTACTGCTCAGATTAAGCAATTGTTAATTAAAAAGTAGCAGTAATTAATATGCCTATTTGCCATATGGTATTGGGTCTCTACTCTAGTAGCCTTTTTTCTTTTTTTCTTCTCTCTCCTGGCTCCTTTTTCATAGCCAAATAAAAATGTGTTTGAAATAAACAAATAAAGATAGTAAAATGGAATGGTAGTTATTGAATAAATTTATTTTGATTCTACCTAAAAAGAACAGTAATTAGATATTCAGCTGCAGTACTTCAATTAATCATTGTAGTATGAGTGTTTGCTCCTTTCGTGCAAACACTTTTTATTCGCTTATGTAGTTACCTTTTCCAAAGAGCCTGCAAACTACTAGTGTTAATTTAACACTGTCATTTTACATTGTATTTTTTACATGCCTAGCACCAGTTAGACTTTTTTTACAACAAATAAATAATATTAGCATCTTTTAAATCTACCGTGTTTTCTCAAAAATAAGCCCTCCCCTGAAAATAAGCCCTTCCCAAAATATTTAAGTGCATGCGCAGCCGATCCCCACCATTTCCTATGGTTAGGGTTAGGGAGACACAGCTAGAAATCAGGTAAGACGGCAAGAGGAGCCCCGTCTTGCTCCACACACCCCAAAATAATATCTCCCTGAAAATAAGGCCAAGCGCTTATTTTGGGATGCAAAAAATATAAGACAGGGTCTTCGGGGAAACATGGTAGCAGTTCTCATTACTGGTCATATTGATACACCATTCAAACAGATCCAAAGTTACAAGAACAACATATATTTTTGTGACCATGAATACTATACTTCAATCACAGATCTTGGCTTAATCATTGGTCATATAATTAAGACAAAAGGGGTCCTTGTAGCTAAATTCTGTATCTTCATGGTGCTTCCTTGCAAATGAAACAAAATGGAGCTGCTGTGGATTAGTTGCTAAGGAGCATTTTGCAGAACATATAACTGAGGGGGTAAATTATTAAATAATTTGATTTATAATAATTTATATCCTATTGGGGTACTTAAAAATTAAGGAATCTTTACTCCTTACAATCCAACCTACTGCTCAAGCAGGAGACCGTATACCATTTCAGACAAATGGCTGTCCAATATCTTCTTAAAAACCTACAGTGATCAAGCACCCCAATTTCTGAAGGCAAGCTGTTCCACGGAGTAATTGTTCTGCCAGGAAATTTCTCCTTATTTCTGCATGGGTTCTTGTGACCTAGGCATACTGAGTCATTACAATACACAGTTAGTCCCAAACAAACCTATTTTATTGTAACAGCTGAAAATTACATTCATTCCCAGCTGAGTCCCAATTAGTTGCAAAACAAATCCTTTGGAAGAAGTCCTTCGGGATAATCACCAACCTTTATCTTCTTTGATACCCTGCCAGAGGCCTTACTTGGCAAAGCCCCACGATGTTCAGAAACAAATGAGATGCTGACTGGAAACAGAGTTAACATTGCTTTCCTGCAAAAGGCCCAAGTGCCTCTGTTTCTCTTTTAAACCTTATGGGAGGAGCCAATCATCTCCTGGCCTTAATCCTGAGTCGTCCCTTTTGCTGTAGCTGCTCTTGCCTTCTGGCAACTGTGCTCATGCGTGCACTAGGAACAGGTTCCTCCTGTTCCTCTGCCTCTCTGCTGTCTGACTCTGGGGGCTCCAGAGTCCGCGCATCACTTCTAGATGGCCCTGGCCCCATCTCTGCCTCTGACGCAGAGCCCTCGTCGGGACCTTCCCCAGACTCCAGGACTGGCCCATGTTCCTCCCCAGCCTCCTCACTGTCAGACTCCACTGCCAGCTCCGCAGGCTGCTGGTGGACCACAACAGTTCTGTCTGTGATTCGTTTCCATCCATTGCTTCTTGTCCTGCCCTCAGATGCTTTGGAGAATAGCTTGACTCCCTCTTCTTTGTGGCAGTCCTTCAAATATTGGAACATTGCTACCATGTCACCCCTAGTCCTTCTTTTCATTAAACTAGACATACCCGGTTCTTGCAACCATTCTTCATATGTTTTAGCCTCCAGTCCCCTAATCATTGTGTTGCTCTTCTCTGCAGTCTTTCTAGAGTCTCAACATCTTTTTTATATTGTGGCAACCAAAACTAGATGTTCCTAGATATTCCAAGTATGGTCTTATCAAGGCATTTTAAAGTGCTACTAACATCAGAAAGGATAGTTCTCTTTTTCTTTTCTTAGTGAAATATTTGTATCCTTCTGCCCATGTACTATGAACTAGTACAGTGCCCCCCCCCAAACCTTTTGGGCACCAGGGACTGGTTCCATGGAAGGAGGTTTTTCCTTGGACCAGAGGGGGCGTAGTTTCATGTACTGCCTGCACTCTTTTGCTAGTTTGTGCGACCAGGTTTCTGGCATGCGGTGGATCAGTGCCGATCCACAGACTGGGGGTTGGGGACCCTTGAACTAGTATATAGTGCATAAATAAGGAATTGAAGCAAACAATTAAAGCCTGTGCTTATAAAACTTCATATCTTATATCTTCAGAAATACACCATGGTATGTAAAATGAACCTTTGATTTCTTAGACATGGCATACATTATATATTATAATTATAAATATACTTACAAAAACTGTTATAAGCTGCTCAGAATTGCCTAGAACCATGAGATGGGCAGCAAACAAATTTGGCAAATAAAATCAAAACACATTATTGAAAAATAGCTTCTGGTAAACTGATTCCTCCCAGTCATTATATGTTACATAATAGTACTGGGAATGTGACTTTTTTAGTTATAATTTCCAGCCTTTTGCTAATATGGCCTCTTTAAAAAGCAACTTCGTTAGGGTTGTTTTATGATTGTTCTGGGTCTAGATCTACTTCCATGGTTGTGTGATAAATGGTTCTTAACAAACTAGAAAAACAAGAATAAACCTGTTCTTTCCTCCTCTTTTTCTAGCTATATTTTTTTCCCCTGGTGTTCCTGGTGTTTGTCAGTAGAGGGTTAACTATCTGACATATGTTTCTAAATCTGTAAACAGCTTTTTTTTTCTTAAATGCTTTGTAGTATATGGTCTCACTTGCTTCAGTACTTTTTCTCTTTACTTGAAAATTGGTTTTCTCACAAAATACATATGCTTGACAAAAATGGTCAAATGCACAGATGTTTGACAATTGAAAGTAATAAATGGAAAAAAGTCTAGAAAGGAAGAGAAAAAAAGCAAATGTGCATGAATAAAAAAAGATGAAATGTGTAGGGTTAGCTGTTAGCTTTGCAAACAAGGGGTAAAACCCGATTTCAGTAAAACTCTACAACTTGCATACCAATTCTGCAAGGTATAGGCAAATGGAGCAAGCTAAGATGAGTCTGGAATGTTCTTGGCAAAACTAGTTGTTCTTCAGGCCAAGGAATGTTTAGCTACCATCTAAGTCCAAAATAATGGTTAATAGTGACTGCTGGTGCTCAAATTAATTTCCACATTGGCTGAAAACGCATTGTTTCCATGCAAGTACCTATGTCTTGGGATCATAGATATATCATGCAGTTTTCTTTTTAATACATAGTAATTTAAAGTAACTGAAAACCTATTTTTGGTGCATGAGGTGCTGTACTTTAGAGCACTTTTCTTTTAATGGACATCTTCTATATTATGGTTATTGTTTCATGCTAATTTCACACCAGAGAGAAGTGGTTACCATGTTGAAAGTATTCTCCTCCCCAATAGTGGAAAGTCTTTCTTTATATTTTAATCAAAATTGTACTGTTTATCGATTTCATTCTGTATTTTCCATTATTGGCAATACCAGCAGACATCTTTCAGTTGAATTGCTACTTATCCTCTTTTATCATTAAAAAAAAATGAGATGCCAGATATTGAATCAGGGACCTTCTACATGTTGACCATGTGCTGTTCCTTTCAGAGTTTATAGAAAAAAGGCATGGCCCAATGACATTTGTGGTATGA